GACAGGAAGTAATGTTGTCGTCAAAACAACAAAAGTGAGCTTTGATTGTAAAGAATCAGAATTAATAGCCTATGTGTTTAATTTAATTCAAACATTTGATTACTTTATTCAGCTTCAGTAGTATTTCTGAATACTAGTCATAGACCTACCAAAAAACTTTTCTCTTTACTTTTATTATTTTTTCTACTTTTCAATTTAATTCAAAGATTGAAATCAAGCTTCCTTGTGTTGTGTCTCTTAACAACAAAATTACACCAAAATTACACCAAAATTACACCACTCAAATATTTGAGTGAGCAAATATTTAGGTGAGATTAATGTAATAAAACAATTGTCTACAAAAATGCCAATTGGGTATTTAGCTCAATGCAAAAGGATGGAAAATGCCCTTCATTTTGTTTGCACCAATAAATACTGCTGATTGCCAGCAGCAATCACCAATAAAGCATTCCATATTTTTTTTCTATATCGTCAAAAATATTATCTCAAATTATTATCATTATCATAATCATCATAATCATTATCTCAAATATTCTTGGATTATTGTGATATAATTTTGTATGTAATATATATATATATATATATATATATATATATATACACAAGACAGACTAAATCCAGATGAACTGCATCAACGTCTCCAAGATGCTTGAAGAATCCTGCCTGCAAAGCTAAAATACTGTGAAAAATTTTAGGCACTTGTGCAAAAATGCTGTAAACTGAGGATACTTTCAAAAATAAGGTCACAAATAGATTTTATTTTATTAAATAAATCAAATCAGTATTTGGTGAGACCACCCTTTTTGTTTAAAATTGCTTTTGTCAGAGGAACACATTTTCAGGTATAGGTTATTTCAGGTGTCTTGGATTTGTTGCTGCAGTTCTTCTGGATTTAGTCTGTCTCAGTTTTTTTTTCTGTTTCTTCATGTAATCATGGATTGTGTACAGTATATACATACATACTCCCTCTTTTAGTCAATAGGGAAATGTCAAACAGTTAATAAGCCTATACTAGTCAGCTGAACTGACACTGACAACGACCTGCTCAACGCAATAAATGACCCATCCAACCGCAAACTACTCAAATGACTTAATAATAAATTAATGCTTATCTGTAAGATTTGCTAATTCAAGTTCTGTCCAGACTGTTTATCATGTAGCACACAACGATGCATTAATCTCAAAAGACAGCATGACAGTAAGTGATTCAAAAACGTGAAGATCGTCTTTTAGACATGGCTGCTCAATGAGACATTTACACCCCTCTTTGTCTTCACAGCAAACTAACAAGGAACAGTAGGAGTCTTCAGTTCTCCTGCAGAGACTATGGTTGAGCTCGAGAGAAGGCTGATGTATAATGCATACATTATACATCAGAATGAGTGAGGGCCAGCAGTGTGTCAGAGGAGACAGAGTCAGACTCAAGCTGTTCCTCCAGGAGCCGGCTTCATCCCTCCTTTAATTACACTCTATTGATCAAACACAGATGGAGAGGGAATGAAGGATGGAGTAAAAGAAAAAAAGAGAAAGACATGGAAGGACAGAAGTGAAGAAAGGGAGAAGTAAGTGTTGTTGTGTGTAGTTTTCAGACTAAGAGGGAGAAAAGGAGACTATTTACTATTGCTGCAGTATATTATTGTAGTATGTATACACTACACAGTATGCAAACTATATGTGACCTACTACATTTGCCAAAATGCTTACTACATGAAATAATGTATCTCACAATGCAATGTGCTTGACTTGATTGTGTGATGGATAAACGTAAAGTAATATCAGCCACAAAAAGGTTACTGAAAATGGAAAATAAACCAATTATAATGAATTTAATTATAATTTAAATATTTTAATGCATTATATTTATGAATATATAGATTATAATATTATATAATACATTTTAAAATATAAGGAACTGGCAGTATACTGTGCAGTATTTAGTAAGTAGAAAGCTAGTATTCCAGACAGAATATAGCCAATCTAATCTAATCTAATAAGGTTCACATCAGGGCTTTTCAGCATTACAAATTCAGAAAAAGGTCAACCTCAAAAAACAACATATCACCTCTCAATTTTTATTTCGAATATTAGATATCAATCTGCTATTTCAACACTTACATACTTGACCTTCATAATTAAATATTATATTAAATTGTTTTTATTCATTCTAGGGCTGAATGATTTGGGGAAAATGTCATATTGCGATTATCGAGGTGCGTTTGTCAACTTGCTAGGTTCTCCAGTAACATTTTACAGTTTGTATAGAACATTTTTGAACAGTAATCGCTATAAAATAGGACATATATATATAAATGACTTCTTGTGTGGGAAATTCACACACATCTAAAGTGCAGTGTTACGGTAGAACCATTTCCTTCTTTTCACATCCAATATCCAAAAATAAAATTCATTTTCTTTTCTGACATATACTCCAGTTCTTGTTAAAACACACCAGACATGAAAATTCGGTGCATTTTGGGCACTTTTGTGTGAAATCATATTCCATCAAAAGTGTGCTTTCACTTTAATTGAGCGTGAGCAGAGCAGCAAAAATACACCCTGCGCCGAAACCCGCGATTCAACGCTGCTCCTGCTCTAGGTGTGAATGCACTCATTGATTAACAAGCACAGCGGGAATAACGCTGCTCACGTTTGAGGTGTGAAACGGCCGTAATTCACGAGGTTTCCTACATGTGCCTTATAAAATCGGGCATAAAATCGGCATATATCAGACTGACCGGACAGTGAAATCACGTGAAGATCACGATCGGCCAATTCCAGTCACCAGCCGATCAATCGGTGCACCTCTATTTAATAGTGCAATAGTCTAAAATAAATATCATACATGTGCCCAAACTGTCTAACAGTCTTTCTGTGTGTCACTGCAGTCATGACATCCACAGGCAGCGCGTTCTGTTGTTTTGTCGAGCTTGAAAGCATTTGCATGGATCATATAATGTAACACTAGCCAAAGCATGACAAAATGAACGGATGCTGCGTTGATTGCGTTAAATATTTTGGACAAAAACAATGTACTGTATTTAACGTTGACAGCCCAAATTTATTTATTCCACAAAATCGCAGCATTTTGCGTCATATAATCACATAGGTTTGACATCGCGATTGCGATATAATTAACCGCGCAGCACTAATTCATTCCGAATCTAAATGCAACAAATGTTAAGTGTGCCACAAAGGTCTAAAGTGTATATTCTCTTCTTTTCTCTTTCATTTTACTGACCTACTTAGCTCTCTGTTCCAGGGCTGCATCTTGGCTCCTTTGTTTAATACCGATATAGACTGAATCTCTTCTGAGATCAGGAATTTCTGTGCTTGGGGTCATCCGCCTCCTGCCAGACTCTAGTGGCTCATGCACCGTGAGGCAGAAACACATTTCAGGGGATGAAGGAGTGTATGCTTCCTGTGAGCATGTGGAGGGAGATGAATCATGATTCTCCATGACAGGGAGGCTCGGAGAAAAACCCGCTACAACGGGTATGCTGCTGAACTCTGGATTACCTTTTTAGAAACAAAACGACAAGTCACTGCTCTCATAAATATCCGTCAGAGATGACACTCACCGATCATCACTGTGCACCATTAATGAGAACACAGCCTTGAGGGTGGGTATATAATTTACAGCTTTTTGTGATCAACTGTCATCTCCACCCAGTAACAGGGTTTAGAAACATCCACACACTCAACACACAGCATTGTACACTCGGATGTGAAGTATACGGATTAAATGTTCTTTTCCTATGCAGTCTAATTTCCCTATGATACAACAATACTGATTGATTACTTGTTTGTAAATCCTGTTTGGCAAATCATCATCATTTCATAACCAACATCATTATTATTATTAATAGTAAATTATATTTATTAAATTATTATTGCATAATTATTATTATAATTATATCATTTAGATTTATTTCCCATTTTCAGGTTAATTTGTTGTGGGAGATTACTTCTGGTGCATCCTTTCAAAACAGAAAGGTACACCAACATTAGATACGTTACCTGTTAATGAATTAGCATGTTAAGAAAATAGCAGATTAAAGAAATGGACAAGCAGGGATAGATGCTGAAATAATTCGTTTTTGTTTTGAAGTTTTTACTTTTTAAGACCGGAAAATAAGAACATGCTGTATAAAGGTGAGATGAGATGTGTATAATTAGAGAATGAACTCCTGTTTATAGCCTAGGTGTCAAAGAGTGAATTTCACAGTCTTGAGATTGATCACAAAGTGTCAAGTAAGAAACTCAAGCTGCACAAATTCTGACCATGCAAGAGTTTAGCAAAACATGAACACCCCAAGGAAGCTTTCTAAATTAAACAAGGTTCTCATGGAAATGAAAGAGTTAATGGGGATAGTAGTTAACGATGCTTGATTTCCAAGGTATATATTTGCATATATTTCATATTTTGCGGACGTGAAGCTCTTGCCATCTAGAAAATATTGATCCTCTTTTAGTTCACCTTTTGTCCTAAAGTCTGCTTGCCATGATCAATAATGTTTGAATGAAATAACAACAGCATGAGCGTGCCACTAGACGTAACGCAGTTGTCCACGTCTGTCGCCATGGTTACTATGGCAGTATGAGCGGAAACCAGGGTTAACATTGATATCACGTCATTGACAGGCGACAATGACCAGGGATGAGCCATTATTTAAAATTGGAATTTCTCTGAAATTAAAAATCAATATTGTACCTTTAAACTAAATGTTTCATCCAGAATTTTCTTTTTTAAAGTAGTTAAAATTAATTGTAAGACAGAAAAGGTGTTATACAGTGTAGTTCTGTCTAGATGTTTATATAAATCAAGACATAACCCCTAAAATATAAAGCAAAGTACACCTACCCTGCCTCCCAATACACAGAACCACAAAATGAGAAACAGATTGATAGGAAATGTAAAAAAAAAAAATAAAAAAAAGAGCCGAGGGCAATAATCTACAAGCAAAATTCGACTGCAACAACAAGTAAGCCAAATGTCTTACCTGCCATGTACTTTAATGTCAGAGATAGCGTAGAAGTATCTTGAAAGGTTGTTCTCATCCACCATGGTGGCGCCCGTGGCAGGCCTGAGCAGACGTACGCGCAGGTCAGTAATGGTGAAAAAGTCTCTCAGGTTCTTGGTGGTGTCCAGTTGTCCATACAGCGAGGCCATATTGTGCAGTTTAGGCCCGGCGAACAGTGCGAAACGGTCTTTGATTTCGAAGCGTACAGTCTTGTCATTCTTCCACACGTAACCTCTGGAATATTCTTCTGTACAGATAATGTCCAGCAATGTGTGCTGAGTAATGTCTTTCACCGTCTTGGCCTCCATAGTGAAAGCATCAAGGCAGTCAGTAGCGTAAAACTGGTAGGGCTGCCAGCTCCGTCCATAGTCCAGAGACTTCTCCAAAACCATCTGCTCAGGCCGACCTGACTCAAAAGTGATGACAATGTCATCAGTCAGCTCAATGGTCTTGTTCCATGACAGGGTTATGTTGACCGCCAGAGGTTTAGGGTATTTCTTCCAGGAGGTGGACTGCCAGAAGGTGGTGGGGTTACGGCCCTCAAAGTCAAACATGAGCTCAGGAGGGTGGGCCAGCTCATCCGTGGCTGCGTCACACTCGTTGTTGCACATGTAGGGGTTTTCCTACAAGAAAAAGAAAATAAAGAAGACAACAGTTCAATGATTAAATTTATCACGTTTGCAGAAATGGGGTATAGCTTGGTGTACGCAAATGAGATGAAGAGTACTCATATTTCAAAGGCACTGGCCTTGGTGGTGGCACATCAGTGTTATTATGGATAGGATGCAGTGGTCCAATCTATTCTCAAGCTGTTGGCTGAATCTATATAAGGACCAGCCATTAAATGCCCAAAGACTCATAGACCTTTTATAGAGCCATTTAAAGTCAAGTTCCCTCATGCACAACCAGTAAAACCAGTCTTGTTTAACACATCATTTATTATTGCCTGTTTTAGGTTCCACCAATCCATGATAATAAAGAACAAGAGAATTTAGTCTCTAAAGAGCTTAAAATGGACATGGATTCATGTTAAAATGCTCATTAAAAAAGTGAAAAATCAGACTGACAAAATGTGAATAATACACTCTCCTCAAGTCATTCTTTTGCATAAAGGCAACCTTGTTCTGCACCTTGAGGTAAGGACACCCAGAGGTGCACTTTTGTCACAGCCACCACTGGCAGGTGAAAAATATACCACGGATCTACAATTCAGAAAGAGGCATTGAAATAAGTGTGCTGCTGGCTTGTGTGAAGACTATTGGTGCCCTAATGTCAACTGCCCTCCTTCACCCTGTACCATCTCCCTCTCAAACATTCACACTAATCAGCATACTGGTACGTTCTGCTGCGCCACATGCTAAGCAGGGGCTCGTGGGGCTGTGACGCTGTAGGGTGGTTGTGGCGTCCTCCAGGAAATACCTCTCAAGAGGAACAAGCTCCAATTTATCTGAACAAGGAACACAGCAGCTGATTAAGTGGGAGATGTCTGTCTCGCTGCGGGAATCCACAGGCCTGGACACTAGGGAAGAGCACAGTGATAAAGTATAGGTGGAGAATGGGACTGCGAAGAAGACAAAGAGCGACACAGAGGCAGAAAGCCGGTACACAGGGGAAAAAAGGAGAGCTTCTGCTAATAGGCTTTTCCTCTTGCCCTGACAACCATTGAACCTCTTAATTTTGACAAAGTGCCATTAATATGCTCTCCAGCCAGTCTTCTATAGCTATGCATATATGCTTGGAGAATGATCAGACCTAACATTGGAGTCAACATGCCTCTCACTAGAACATCCAGTCAAGAGGCAGAGCTGTTCATGCTGTTCTAGCGTCCTCAGCATGTGATTTAGACACTAGTCCTCTAATGAAGAATTGTGATTGGCGTCTATAGCACTCTATATTTAACTAGCAAGCATCAAAATTACTATTGCTTATACTTATAATTTAAGATTAAGGATTTTAACAAACCCCTACCCCTAAGAATTAAGCTTCAGTGCATCATTTTCCTGCAAATTATGTTCGGTTTTTGAACATAAATAATACCATATATTGCACAGCTTGTTAAAGGGAGGTGCAGTTACTCGTGAAAAACAATAAAACAGGCAAACAAATTGCATAGACTATCATCGATGTCAAGTCTAGAAAGACTTTAGGATGGGCTCTTTTGACTTTCTAGCAGCTGAATAGCAATGGATCTTTTCACCTTAGTTATCCAGCATTGTGCCACAAAGTTTAACGTACCACATTTAAAGGACTTAATTAATAAATCAGGTTATTTCCCTGGTAAACATAGCCTGGAGTATATATAAATGGAGTATTCAATTTATTATGTCTGTTGTGGCGGTAAATAAAGCATCAAAAACCAAAAAGTATGCATATCAGTGAGAAAATTACAGACATATACCATCCTCTAATGCAGTTACAGATGCGGCGAAAAGCGTGGATGTGCTAAAATGCACAGTAAGGATGCTTTCCTGTCATATAGCCGGTCATATATCTTATGTGCACTTCAACAAGACCAAAGAACGAAGGTTAATATGTTTACATGCCAGAGGAAATCAGGGTAAGGGGGAAAAAAAAAATCAATCGCTGAGTCGATCAGTTTATGCTTAAGCCGTTTATGACTTTACTTGGATGAAGGAAACGCGTTTACATGACCACATGTGAAAGTGAAAGTGAAACCTGACCAAGCTTTTGGCATCTGAATCAGCCTAAGTATATTACAGCATCTCCAGAGATATTATACTAAAGGGCCACAATCAGAATTTTTGTCACACACACACACAAGCTTGTGTTATTTATTTTTTATGTATTTATTTTGTCCACAGGACAGTAATCTGTAGTTTTGCAGCAGCACAACTAGAGGCTGATGTGAGGAAATAGGCCACACAGTTATGCCTTATAAAGATTGTGTTTTTCCCCAGTCACTGCAAACCACTGAAAGTTATTTCATGCCACTGAGAGCATGTTAAGGTTTGACTAACATTAGAAAAACCGATATAGCCGTCACCTTCACAAAAATCATTAATTACTAAAGATGTTTCTATTAATCCTAAACTGATCAGGAGGACACCCAAGATACTTGTTGAGTATACTTGCCAGGATACTTTAAGTTGAGAATGAGAAGTTTTGAGTTGGACACCCTCACATGTCAATGTTTTCATTGAGATTTCATTGTAAGTGCATAATCGGCTTTTATTTGTGTGTCTTTTTACGTATGTACTGATGTGATGCAATTTTGCTGCCTATCTTGGCCAGGTCTCCCTTGCAAAATAGATTTTTTAATCTCAATGGGGTTTTACCTGGTTAAATAAAGGATAAATTAAAAAAACTTGGACGGGGGCAAGGGATTTTGATGGCTGGGCTCAGTTTGAAAATCAGACAGCTTTCTGTGAATTGGTGTTAATGACAGTGTGAGGCTCCACGAATAGGTTAATCCCATCCACAAAGAGCTTGATGAACAAGAAAGAGGTCCAGAGATAGAGTGAAAGCAGGGCAAGAGAAAAAGAGATGTACTGCACATGCACTCAGCTGCCTGGTGGTTCTAATCCGAGCGAGCCTGTTGTCCCCATTAAATGTGTTCTGGGTAATTTCACACCAACAAACGCACACAATCGTCATGAATCATCTCTCACTTGCTTACTAAACACAGCCTTAAAAACCCACCCATCCTACAAACGCTGTTTGTCTGTTGTTCAGTGCCTGGCTGAGTGTTTTTCTCACGGCTGATCACACATCTCTGTGGAATGAAAATGTATTATCAATGCAATAATTTGTCTCGAACAAAAGAGTGCAAATGAAAGCCATGTCAAATGCCTGCCTCTTCACAGCTACAATTAACAGTGTATGCTTACACTCAGTAATGACTCCCATTATTTTCCTCCTGATAATCTCACAAATTGCAGGATCTAGACTGAAGGCTCTTTCACATAACCTAACTCATGTGCACTGAACTCCATGGAGCCTCGAGCAACAACATTACCACTCTCTAGCATGCAGGGCATTGTAGCATGACTCTCAGAGATCAGACAGTATTAACTATGACCTTGTTTGCCACTGACCGTTTGAACCGCAGTCAGTGATGACAAGGGAATTCGCATGACGCATCAATACAAGGGTGGTGCAACAGAGTTGCGCACCACTCAGAATTTAATTGAGAGTGCCTTTAATTTCCTGAACTGTGATTTGAAATTGAATATTACGAAGTAGAATTAAAGGGATACTCCACTTTTTTGGGAAATAGGCTCATTTTAGGCTCATTTTTCTCCCCCAGAGTTAAACAGTTGAGTTTCACCGTTTTCAAATGCATTGAGACGATTTTCTGACATTTAGAAGAATATCCGTAACCAGATACTTTCTGGTCTCATTGACTTCCATAGGGAAAAAAAATACTATGGAAGTCAATGAGACCAGAAACTGTCTGGTTACTGATATTCTTCTAAATATCAGAAAATCAGCTGAATGGATTCAAAAATGGTAACACTCAACTGTTTAACTCTAGGGGAGTTGTAAAATGAGCCTATTTCCAAAAAAAGTGGAGTTTTTAATGCAAAAAAAAAAAAAAATGTAAAGTAATATACCTCATTTTTAACAATAAAAACAAAGTGTGTCAAGACAAACATTTAATGTTGCTTTGACAAAGCCTGGTTATTGAAAGAAAGTTAAAAAGACTTCGAAACCTCACAAAACATCCTTCAGTGATGCTGTCTGCAGTACTTTTCAAATGGAGGTCATTGTGGTGAATAAAGCTTGAATGTATGAAAACGAGAGGGGCATTGAAGCCCTGTCATAAGTCATCTGAAATGGCCTCAAAAGCATTAACTGTAAAGACAAATAATAATAGTTTAGGACCTATTCTGACCAAGCCACGTGAAAAATTATTATTCGGCTGGGAATTTCTTGTCGAGGGCAGAAGCAAATGAGATACGACTGTCCCACTGGCAGGCAAGGCTTCAGATTACCAGATCACCAATGTGACTGAGTATAAATTTACTGTGGCTGACAGCAGACTGAGATATATAAGACCAACCAATCAAACAAATCCTTTTGTATGACAGATGTTTGTGACATGCAATCCGGATCAAAGTTTGCGCTCTCTCGCTGTCTCCATTTCTCTCTCTTTTCCCATTATATGCTCCATTAACAAAGCACATATGTGCAAATATGCGTCCATACATTCAGACTCACATATGCCCACACACCAATATGCATCGCAACTCGGCAAGCGTTTTGTCTGCTCCATCACTATCTTGCCATGCTTTTCACGTATTTGATTGTGGCTGTTTTGAGCTCTTCAGAAATGACAAATAGATCAATATCGTTTCATTGGAAATGAAATTACTATGCAGCGGCCACACTGAGATCAGTGCTCACGTTGCGAAATCTACTGTGTAATTGTCTCAGCTAAAGGAGACCAGTGTGAAGAGCGATTTCTCCTCGATCATTTCAAATGTTAATGTCTAATCTGTCAGAAGCCGTTTTGCCAGACCGTATGACAGGCTCAGGTCAGTCTTTTTGCATATCTCCTTTTCTGGTGCTAACATGAAATGATTTCAATCAAACTTGTTCATATGACCCGACATTAGCTACTAAATTACAAAGTAGCAAATTTGATTTTACGAGCATGGCT